AATGTCTATGCATTCGCATTAAAGTAGAAAATAATTTCCAATGGATTCGTGTAAAAGTCGATGTTCTAAAAAACATTAATAAATTTACATGAATATATTTGCTTTCGAGAATCTAAACTTTAGGCATGCTTCAAAATTATGATAAAGTTATTACAAACCAAACTGTCTGTAAAAAATATTTTGATGACTCCCTGAAAACGATGTCAGTAATATTTTTCAACAAATCTGGTTTCTAATAATTTTAATGCCTGCCTAAATTTCAATCTCACCAAAGCAATCTATTTCATGTAAATTTATTCATAAAATATAGTTTTAAAAATATCGACATTTACACGAATCCTTACATTTTCTTCATCATCGTCTTTTTACTTTCTCATTCTTTTGCCACAATTAACAACGTTTCTCCCTTCCCCTTTGTTCTCTATTTCCCGTTAGTCTTTTATTTCCTTTTAGTTCTTCTTTGATTTCTACATTCCATTTCGTTTTTCGTTTTCTTTTTTCGAAGGGTGTGTTTTGACTCTAATTTCCTTCCTTCCAAAGTTGTCCCGAACAACAACTTCTTCCCAAGACATAATTGATGACAAGGCCAGATAACCTTTTTGTTTTTGTTTGTTTGTTTTAATTTGCAGCTGCTTTGCTGGGAATAAAAGAAAAAAGATTTGGCCGGGGGGCGGGGGGTACAGAAGTGTACGTCGAGTTCCTCGTGTCAACCGCTGAATTGTAGCAAAATGTTTGGATCAAATAAAAAGTTGAAAATATTCAAACAGACAGCGACAAAACAGGAACACAAAAGACAGTTTTTACATATACCATTCTTAGTGGTCGGAAAACTGACTCCGTTTTTAAGTGGCCTGTAGGGAATTATTGCCCGAGCCTACGGGCTCGGATACCCCACTTTAAACTCGGCCTTGTGCCACATCTTGCTGCGTGGGGTAGCGTGTAAATAATTATACCATTCTTAGTGGACTCCTGCAATTAGGATGTATCAAACAGAGAAAGAATTGAAACAGCAATAAACTAGCAAGATTACCTGCTACTGTCCCACCTAATATAGTTAATCAAATCAAATTTATCATATTTTTAGTTGTTCGCACAAGATAGTTATGGTTAAATATTGAGCACATCATGGCATCTATGCATCAAAATGGACAATTCGGTATCGCTTTGAACCTTTCTATGCAACTGGGGATGATAGTCAGTTATTCCAGTACCTAAGAATTCTTGACCAAAATGCAACCGTCCTGGGTGTGACGATAAACTACGTCAGCGTTCTGGGTAAGACGATAAACTACATCCGACAGCAAGGCTTCTGATCAGGAGGTTTTGAGGAGCGTGGAACCACCTCTTAATCGCTGATGTTCCCAGGTCCAAACTGACCCAGGTTGGTAGCGACTATTAGGGTCCTAGCTACGGGCAAATATTTAACCCTCCAAACTTGGGTCAAAACATTATGAGAGTGTAAAAATAGGATTTCATACCAACAATGCATTTTTGGAAAAAATTATTACTAGCAATACGTTTTGAAAAAAAATAACCAGAAATATATTTTGAAGGAAAAAATTACTACCAGCAATACATTATTACCAGCAGTACATTATTGAAAAAAAAAGTTACCAGCAATACATTTATGAAAAAAATATTACCAGCAATAAAAATCTTGTCGACATTAAATAATCCACTGAGGTTGATATGCCGTAAAACAAATCAAACCAAAACGCAAACGTCTCTAGTAACAGTCGGTCAGTATTGATTTAGGTCCTTTGTATGAAACTGGAGATGGTAGTCAATTATTCCAGTACCTTAGAACAATTCTTGACCGGAATGCAACTGTCTCTAGTAACCATCATAATTCACCAATAACGAGATCTTTGTCAAAAGATCTGTTGAGAGTAGAAGCCTCAAGGAGCGGTAAATTCATGCCTTTCTTAAAAGTATTAGTGTAAACATCAGTTAGTATTTGAACTAGGTTAATTTATTTGATTTTTCTTCTCCTACCTGCCTTGTTCGATCAGGACGTGAACGATCATGGCTTTCCACATCTTCCTGGCCTTGCGTTTTTGCTATCTCTCCTAATCCCTGTTCTTCCAACCATTTACATAAGTTTGGTTTACATAAATTATTCGCTGCTTTCCTTTGTCCTTTAATATATCCTGTGAGTGTCATGCTCCCCAATCCCTCTTTATGTGTCCGTGAAATTTCAAATATCTCTTTCTGATTCGTGTTCTAAGGGTTCTAGTTCTTGTTTCAGTACTGCTCAGTTATTGCTTACCCCCGTTTCAGCTGAGTCCAAGTACACAATCACGTGCCAAGGGATTGAACTCACAATTCCACTGTCCTCAAATTCATGAACCCTGTTTTAATCCAACTCTGCTATTGCCCTGTATCCTCAGCAGTACTAAATAAAAACTACCCCCGTAAATTAAATAATGGTTTCAGTTTTGGTATTTCAGGGTGGGGGGCTACCCAGATCGGCATACATCTAGTGCAGACCGGATAACAACAACATCAAAAATGGGGAGAATAGTCCGAATGTAAATAATGTAAATGCAAATTATAAGGAAAATGGAAACAAAAAGGACACAATCAGAAATTCAGACGGAAATTACCGGATTTTGTTTTAAATTTTTTATAATTAATACCGGATTTTACAGTGATCATTAAGTTTTATATACTAATCACTAATATCTATTTCAGAATAATTTTACTGCTTAGGCGGTAGGAATATCGGGCCCACTCAACCCCACAGAATCCTAGACACTTTCTTACCTCCCCTGATGATATGTATTTGGAGTAGTATCCTCTAATACATTACCTGACTATAATAATACACGTGAAATTTCTAAGACACGTCGGGTAGCAAGACATGCCTTGCAAATCAACCAGAAGTATTATGATCTTCGGATCGTTTTCGATATGAAAATGACTGGTTGACCCTCGTAATTAGACAAAATCTCTCAAAGAAAGCTCAGTTATGTGCCATGCGTGATACACACTTAGGCGACCATGTATATTTCGTTGCATGACTAACAAGGCAGGTTGTCATTTCTTTCTGCGGTAGACCAGTTGCTATCCAAGAAATAGAAGTCGGTCTGCCCTGCTATTTACAGCTTGAGGGGGGAGAAGAAGAGGATTCCTACCTTTCCCAAGCGTATTAGCACGTAAGTGAATGTAATGGATTCGACTGGAATTCGAACTCAGCTCTCCGATTCCGAGTCGCTATCCATTACTCCACCGTGCTTCCTCTGTATAAAGAAAGAAAGCTAGTGAGATTATTAGTATCAAACGCAGGATTAAGTTATAGTCAAGTAACGGATTAAAGCGGCATTACTACTTAACTGTCAATACGTACAGCAGTAACAATACTATATAAAACTAACCTAAATGGATGCATTGCAGAAAAGGATCAACCAGTAATCGTTGAACTTGGCGAAAACAGTGGGCACCTGTTCTGGTTTTACTGTCAAGACAAATGGCAGAATATTCCTGACGAAACAATTTTTAAATTGCATACCCAATCACACGTGGTTGTAGTTCCTGCATAAGTGATAGTAAATACCTTTATTTATTTGTTTTTTTACTTTTTATTTTTTTTGCTCGGGGTGTTCCTAAAGTTTGAACACATAGGCAAAAATCCATACCTTCAAGAAATGAAATTCTCAACATTTATTGAATTGGGATATAAACAAATAACATCTTAAATATGATTTCCGTTATTTGTGATGCAAAGGTTGATGCGCTTTGCAAGTTTCACGTGAACTCGATGCAATAATTCCACATTGCCGTCAATTTTAGCATATTCACTCTTTATCCGTTCAGTCTAATGTTACACCTTCTCCTCTAGCATACCCCAGGAAAAGAAGTAATTTCTTTTTTCTTTCTACAAAACTATGTTTAATCTATGGAGGTAAAAAAAGACATTCTTAATGAGATTTCTCATATGTGAAGAATTTAGGAACATCCTGTATATCTTAATATTCTAGGAAGAGGCATGCAAATACTCCACCGAGCGGTGAGCCCATCAGTAGCCCGAATTTATATCTATAAAAAGTTACCGTTGAATATGAAATAACATAGCTTTGTAAAGAGACAACATATTATAATTTTTCGTCCGCTTGCAGTAATATTTATATCTAATCAGCTTTTCATTCTTACCAGTGAACAATCTGTTCCATTTCCATATGACACTACTTTAACATTCTTATCTGTCACCCCCTACTCTCGGCAGGTATAATCTCATCTTAGATTCCTCGTCCCTATTAGAGAGATAATACAGCAGGCCAATCTGGGGATTGTATTTACTAGTGCACAGTTCTGGTACCTGTCCCGCTTCTATGGCTTTTCTCAGAGCCTTAATTTTAACACCCGCCTCGCATTCCTCTAATATATCTCTATTAACAGCAGCCTTTCTCTCTCATCCTCTAGCTTATCTAGATTGGGTCGATTGTCCATCCGACGGGAGTTAATTACATTTATTTGATGCGCCTTATCGTCTACCTCAGGCTCAACTAATACTAACGCTTGTTCCAACTTCCGGGTCACACATGACAACGTCAACACACATATTCTCTTTCACAGAGGCATCCTCACCCGTGAAAATGGACTTAGCATCAGCGTCGACCGCTGGATTTTCTTATAGCGGAAGGGCTTGTGGTTTGTCATTATTGGAAATTCTAATGGGTCCAAGAAACCAGTGTTTTCGGGGGAAAGCGATGGAATTGAATCTCGATGTCTTAAGGGGAAAAAGGTGAAAATTTATGAGATGCCAAAAAAAGGAATCGATAAAATTGGCATCTGATTACTCCGGAGAGGCTGCCTGGGAATTGATTGAATTGTGTGTCGAAGAAGGGTAGGATGTATCATGGGACATGTTAATTAAACAGGTACATGTAAGATGTGAGGACGATACGAGCAAGATAGAAATTGCGTGCGCTCCGGCGGGAATCAAAGGAAGAAAAACAATGTCAGATTTGACCGGTAGGATTTGTGGACTGGACAAAGGGTCATACAAGGACATTAAACAAAGAGAGAGGGAGAAAGAAAGAATGATAGAGAGAGTGAGAGAGAGAGAGAGAGAGAGAGAGAGAGAGGTGGGGACGGTCCAGACGCAATTGGCTGAGTACTTTATGAACACGCCTGAAAGCGAGGTGCGGTGCTGCCGTGAAATTTTGTTTGAGAGGCATATCACCAAAAATAAAATGAAAAAGGGGATTTTTAGTATGGTAAAACTCTAAACTTGAAATCAGTGAACAGTGGAATTTTACAAAATGAAATCTTCAAAGGAATAGTTCAAGATAAAGAAAAAATACTTATGTTTTATTCTTTGCAGAGAAGCTAATGGCAAGGTTAGGACTTAATATTTTTGAGAGAGGCAGTGGAACTGAATCCGTGATTAGATGTCTTACGGTAAAAGGCAAAACTTTATGACTTACCAGAAAAGAAATTAATAAAACTGGCATATGATTACTTCAAAGGGGCCGTGTCGGAATGGAATGAACAGCAAGATTTAAGATGCAATGCATTTGGATAAGCAGCTGCGTGTACAATATGGATATTATGCAAACTCGACAGAGGCCGCTGCACGCTCTGGCAGGAATAAAACCTCAGCATTTATACAGAATTTTATAAATATAATTCGTCTTTGTCAAGGTTGAATGTGTACTTAAGAATTTTTGAGGCAATCACCGTAATAGCTAAGGTAGTTATGAAAGAGTGTATTGTTTATATATACGATATGTGGCCAAATGACATGATTCCACGGTTTCGTAACAAGCCGTTTAGTAAAATTATACAAGTTCATACAAGCTGTTTATTTGTTTCGTAGTTTTATAGAACGACAAAAATTCTTCATGTGTGTCATGTTCTTTCAAAACGTGACGTTTATGGATCTCCACAACTTCCTATCCCATATACTTCGTAGTAACATTTATCTTTTTTCTATTCCTGCCAGTTCCTGTTCTAACATACATTTACCCCACATTCTCAAAAAATTAAATACAGTTTTAATTATTATCTTTTGTTTTCTTTATTCCAGTTTTTTTATTATCCTCTTTCTTTATTAATGTTTTTTTTTCTTTATCTCTTATTATTTCACACCGCGTAGCCCCCTTTATGCCTTTCTTGCAGGCGGGGGTGAAATTATTAAAAAAAAGAGAAGGTAAGATACTCGCTGTTTCCATATGTGTCTCTTGCCTTCAACATACCATGTGAATGTCAAATTTTCCCAGCCTTCTTTTTTCATTATGAGTCCCAGAAATTTCAGCTAGGGATGCAAAATGTGTGAACTCGTTTCTAAAAGTGGGAATCCTACTATGTTTGCTATTTCACATTGAGACGAATGCTGTAAGTTTCAATGAAGAGAATTGAACATTTCAAATCGTTTTCCCTTCAATATATTCCCCTATTAAAATCCCACACCACTACGTTTTTGTTTTTTTTGTTTTCCATTACGTAGTTACATGATTCTAGATTAGGTGAATCTAGATAGTAGTAAATAAGGTATCTCAATAAAAACAAACAAAAAAACGATACCTAAGGTTAAAATGATTTTTTTTTAAATGAAATATTTTTCTTGAAGCTTTTATTTTAGTTTTAATACACAGCTACAATAAGCAATTCTGTTGTATTACAAAAAAATAATTTTCATAAATCCCCCTTTTTTTTTTAGCTTTTAATCACATTGTAATTCTCTTTATTAAAAATATCTTCCAAAAATAAAATATATTTTTCTTAAAATTTATTTGAGGAATATTGGCTGATTTAAAGTATAATTAATTTGAAACAAATATTATTTACTTTAAGTTTAAAATATCACAGAAATTTATTTTTTAACCTGATATTAGCTGTGTTTTTAACCCGACAGTAGCTATTTTGACGTGTTGACCGTCTGATCATAGATCTAATGTCATACTATACTACGGAAACTTTATCTGTAAAACATAACTGAAGAAAATGACGTGAATGCCTTTTTTTTTATTATTTGTGCTCTCTCTCTCTTTATATTTTTCCTTGAAAAAATTCTAGAATCTTTCACTATTATATGTTCATTATGGCTCGATCTGGAAACTAATTCTCCATAATTACGAACTTAATTATATTAAACTCGAACGTTCATTGTCACTAAGTGGGCTCGCACAAGAGAATAAAGCGAACAATTTGTGGGTTTGAATTCTCTGAATGATTTTCAGCACAACTGAATTGATTGATTGATTTGTTTTTTTACGGCTTATCAACTCTTTGCAGTTTATTTAAATCCAGAAAATGTATTTTTTTAGATTGTAAGAATATTTTTTTTGCGGGTAGAGATAATAAAGGTTTATTGATAGAGGTGGATTCATACCTTTCCCAAGGTTATTTGCGCTTCCGTGAATATAACAAACCCAACGGGAATTGAAACTTAGCTCTCCGATTAACAATTCCGAGCCATTATCCATCGCAGAATCCGCACATCCAAGCTTACAACACCTGCCATTACGGTCACCCATTTGGTTACTAACCAGGCTTGACGTTGTTTAACTTCAGTGACCGTACGGGAACCAGCGTTTCAACGTGATGTAGCCGTAATGGAATAAGGGAACTGTATTCATGTTATTTGTACTTTAAGAGAAATATTCAAACAAAACGTTCGTACTGATTCAAAAATGGAGACATTGGTTTAGAAACGCTGGTCAGCGTTGAAGGGCCAATATTTTTTAAAGTAGCTTAAATTTTGCATTTAACCCATTTGCGTTTATTTTCAAGGGGCGGGGTGAACTATTTTCACTACCAAAATTGGATTCAGCACACAAAAAAACAAAAAAAAAACACAAAGGAATCAAAGCCTAGCTTATGATCTTCTGATAAATACAAGGACAGTTATGTTGGAAACTGATATTTAGTTTCCGGCATATAGTTCTAAAAACGGGCAATGATCAATTTAATCTATGATAGGAATGGAGTATGTTTTAAATATCTTCCCGAGGACAATTTTCTTAGATTTTGGAGATTTAGGTTATTTTAATATTTGGGACTTTTACACTAAAAAGAAGAAAAAATATCTTCGTCGTTTTATTAATGTTTCTTGAAGATGGGTTGTTCATAAGCATAATGCAGGCCAAACCATGACAAAAATATATGCATTTTAATGATTTTTCTCTTGTAGGGTCCAAATATCGACTTGATACAGATTATGAAAAGGATTGTCAAATTAAATCTTTTTGTCTCTTATATCATTAATTTCAACAAGATTCCCATGACTTTTTGACAAAAAGAGGCAAAAGGGCAACAACCCAGAATTTAAAAATAGATGATTAAACTTTGCCGAGTTTTCATTAAATTCAAACAATAATAATTTGACAAATGCTTGGAGTTCAGACAAAATTAAACCCGTTCTGAATTACTGATTTTCAGACTAGATGTAGTATATATCCGTTGAGAAATGTTTTAAAAATTTTCGCTTGAGAACGCCCCTGTGTGTCAAGCTTTGGTGATGATTATGCTTTCTGGTCAAATGAGTGTTTTTCTTTCTCAGGATTATATTGAAATGTCGAAATCACGTCATTTTAGTTTCTTCTGCACAAATTCTGTTTCGATTCTCATTTCAGTCGAGGATCAGATCTTTTTTAATCATTTTATTCCAAACAATGCAATAAAGTCACTAAGATGCAAGAGGTTACTGAGAATGAAGGAAATTGAGAAAATTTTAAACATTGCTTTTAATTTTTTATGGATTTAAGTTAACCAGCAAGACAAAAAGCTTGAAGAAAGTTCCACAAGCAAGAAGTATGAGAGAAACAACTATTAGGAAATTTACGTTTACGGTTACGTAAAATGATGGACCCTAACTTGTTATATAATAGTTTCGCAGACTATCATTTTTAAGGGGAATCGTATCTCAGCTCCGACTTCCGGAGGTTGACCTTTGGTGTTAAATGTAAGACATAATGAGGAAGCCGATGTTGATTGGCTGAGCTAGCGTAGGGATGATAGATAAAGTTGTTTCTGACCGTCAAGCGATTTAGACGTGTTCACTTTCGTGTCTGAAACGGCTCCCCAAAATTCGCTGTGTGGAAGCCTTTCATCTCTGGATCCAAAACATTTAGCGACCCCCAGCCAGGAGAAAACGAGAGAGAGAGAGAGAGAGAGAGAGAGAGAAAGAAAGAGAATGCATTATATTATCGAATTGGTACCGTTGACCAGCAGCTCCGGGCATGGGGGGGTTGCAGGATGAAGGTTACAACAGAACGTGGAAAAGTTTGGAGATGTAGAACAAGACAATAAGAAATAAAAGAAAAAAACAATCAAGACATAAGGACAGGGAAAGAAACTGTAAGTACGATGATATTACTATGTTCTATACTCACCCACACAAACGCACATCTAAACAACAAAGCAAAATAAGGAGTAATGAAGAAAAAAAATCTAGAAAATAAAGTAAAAAGTGTAAGCGGACTGTTTTTTTTTTTGCATGTTCAAGTGAACAGATTTTGATAGACAGACAAGAAAAAAGTTATGAAAAAGAGACGAACAGGAAAACAAGAAGGGACACAGTATGAACTGTGAACACTCACACTCACGCATACACACTGATGCGACAATGTCAATTTTGGTGAGTCATTTTAGTGAGAGACTGATATTTGTTGTTTTGTTTTGTCTTTTTCAAAGGTTTAGAATTATTTTGTTAATCGTAATTAACTGTCAAATGATAGTTTTGTTCATTTTTATAATAGAGCGTGGAATTCTTTTTTTTTTTTAAAAGCCGTGTGTGTGTGTCTTCATTGGTTGAAGAATTGTTGTTAATTCGTAAATTTTGGGAGTTAATTTTTTGACGGTAGAGTAATGGACAGCAGCTCGGATTTAGGAATCGGAGAGCCGAGTTCTAATTCCAGTCGAATCCATTACATTCATTTACATGCTAATACCCTTGTGAAAGGTATGAATCCTTTTCTTCTGTCCCTAGCTATGGGTAAATGGCAGGACAGACCGGGTTCCATAGCCTTGGGTGGAAACTGGTCTACCCCAGAAAGAAATGGCCACCTTCTGAGGGAAAAAATCTGCCTCGTCAGTCATCTATCGAAAGATACATGATCGCATGGCAAATAACTGAACATAATTGTTTGTAGGAAAAAGTAGATTCGGCTTGCATAGTTTCTTATTTC